CTCAAATTAAACACTCACAAATATGCATTCGAGTCTTCTATATTACCATAATACACATCAAAATGTTGCAAATAACGTCAACATTGTTGTTAGCCGTTGCCTTCTCGCAGTTTGGAGGAGTGTTGTTTAGTTGAGTAAAGTTACATTTTTCTTTGATGAATTCAGATTCTCTGAGGGATTCAGCAAATTCAGGCTTGATTGCAACCGTACCCAATTATAAGTTGTAAGGCAGTGCCAAAGTCTGTTCAGCAATAATAAGACTATGAAATATGATAAAGTAATAATGATAATGAATCAAAAGTGCGTCTGATGAAAAACCAAACGATCACATCTTTATTATCATTATGCCCTTTTGGTCGATCAAATATGCATTTATTACTGCTGAAAGAAGCTCTATGAAGTGATTCCGAGGCAAAGTGGAGAAATAAGCAGAACTGTCGAAACATTTCTGCATTGATGATTGAGCAAGCATTTCTACTGTCACCAGTAAACTGACTTATTAGAAAACTTTTTTCGAATTTGACACCAACGTGGATATCATACAATAAGTTTACATAGAAAGCATACTGAAGAACGAATGCAGGGTATTAGTATAAAGTGTGGATAAATTCAACGCATTTACCGTAAGCTCTGCGTTTTTCGTTTAACAAATTACCTCAACTATCACTTTCCACTGAACTACGGTAATTGCTTGACGACATCTGATAGTAAGTGAATGAAGTAAAATTGATGATGACATGTATGCTTCCTGTGATTTCGTGTTTTTTTTTACGCTGGAACCATCAACCCACCAGCAAGCCACATGAAAGTATAGGTCAGATTAGATTTGTGACAAGCGAATGAATAAGATTTAACAAAACCAGATGAAGAAAAACATATAACAAATAAAGGTTTCTGCTATACATGTCATCTGTCTAAATTATATTTGTTACGGATGCCTCTCGTGCTCTAATCCACTATCAAACATATATCTGAATAAAATGCCAGAAAAAAAATCATTCACATTTCCCAAGCGGTGCAACATACTACCGACATATTCGCGTTTTCGTGTTTGCTCGTCGAATAGGTTCTTTCTATCAGCAACCAATCCACAACAATAAAGACTACTCGTTTCCTTTGCTCAATCTTATACGAGGTTCATTCACCATTCAATCATCCGTCTCAACTGATGTGATACGGTAGAATACTTCTACTGCTAGTGCTATTTCAATCATGCAATCAACTGCAACACAATACACCAACAAAAATGGCACGATTCAATTTATGAATCCTTACTTGCTAATAAAAGATTGCACACAAATGTTACACTATTGATCATGCAAAAATTTCAAGTTGCAAACTTCAAACTGTGTTGTTCGTTTTCGTCTGAAGCTCTCAGCATTAGATCTTTGAGTTTTTTAATAGTTTCACATTCAATTCAAAGAAGAATGGGGTGCAGTCTCAGTGCATCTTAGTTTCTGAAATTTCGAGTAGCAAGGAGTAAAGAAAGCGATCGCGCTGCAGGAATCTTCACCGTGAAACTGCTAAAATTATGCCATCTATGCAATGAAGTCACTGAATTGAATCAGTTGAATCAGTCATAAGGTTTCATTCTCCTTAACTATCACTCAGGTATGATACAATTATTGTACTCTTACTCTAATCCCACAAAGACAGATCGTTTCCCTTGAAGATACGGTAGTCTATGAATATCTTTGCATGAAATCCTCAAAGCAAAATGCTTTAGTAATGCGCAGAAGGTTCTCACAGAACGGATGCTGGATTCGTTAGTACTGCTATTGTTGTACGGCATTGATGGTGGATGAATACGATGTACGGTTGATTACGTCCGATTCATTTTGTGCACGGCATTCGGTATGATGAATGTAATCTTCTTGCTTTACAAATGGTTTCTCCTTCCGCTTTGATGCGTGTTGCATTGGTTAATAGATGTCATTTGTACGGATATAACATCCTTTGTCAACTCCATAAATGAATACATTCAACACGCAAAAAGTTCATCTGAATTTACACGTTTAGAATCGTTCAAGAGAATGGATAAATTTTTTCGGTATTCATGTGATCCTCACCATTCGCGATCTACTCAAATTGCCGTTGAATGCACATTATCTCAAGTCATCGTGCAATCAAGAAATCAATATCCACTCTATGTTTGGGTATCTAGCACCATCGTTGTCATTATACCGACTTCATGTTGTCATCATCCTTTTATTTGTTGAACAATCCAGTATTTACGCTGAATTGTCACTAACAACACCAATTCGTTACTCTCATTTTGTCGTTTCCTCTTTTCCGTACGCTGCAATCATCTGTTGACTCTATTCAGCCGATATAACGATACCGTAACTCTTGATGAGGAATTGTTATAGCTTTTCCGATTGATATTCGTTGAAGGTTCATCAACTCATCAAGCACAATACAGTAAGAATGAGAATGATGTGCTATTAGATCTTGTTAAGATCAAGGGACTTTAATGAAACAAGTGAGTGATACACATAATTATGATAGAATCGCATCTCTTGAAACGAATGGTCAAATTAAGAGGTCATCGAAGAGGATTTATGACTAGCACCGTTATTTATTGGTGGTGCTGTTGATTGACGTGAATCAAGGGAATTCTCGAAGACATGAAACGATGTACATATCGCTCAAGAATTAAGATAATTCGATTTGCATATGATAGGATAATAGTAAGAAGCGTCTACGAAGTCATGAATACCTCAGTAATGAGGCGTTTTGTTGTGGACGCAATACTTAAACGACTGCTTTCATGCATACATATACTCACATGTCAACCTTCTAATGATGCTGGGGTATTCATTCGAATACGGTGAAGTCGAGTTATTTCAGGCCTGTAG